TTTTAATGCAAATTTTCGATGAAATTACTTGAAATGAATATTTAAAATACTTGTTACAAAGAAAAAAGATATGATAAACAATTTTATAATAATGTACATTTTCTCGTTCTTAAAGTGTAAAAATGGGTTACTATTCCTGAGCTGAAAAATGGATGTAATTCAATAATTCTTCTCATATGTATAAATATTTTTACTATAACTGTAAACTGATAAAATGAACACAATAAAATCCTTCATTGGCCTGAAATACACGACGGCTCAATAAAAAAATGTCTAATCGGTGTCCAAGCTCTTACTTAAGGAATTCTGATTACCCTTGCAGTTGAAAACGCACCACGAATGTCAAAATATCGTAATTTTTACGTTTTGCGATTGAAATCTCATAACAAAGAACACTAGAACACGCCATCGAGAGCGGCGACGGTGGGATCCGCTCTGGAAGTAACATGCCGAGCTTGGCTCGAACTCATCTTACGCTCTGTAATTTTCATATACAAACGGTAATATAACGTATCAACTATAATGCGCTACACTGGGTGTGTATCTATAAAGATATTTATATGTTAAAAAAGGGGGAGAGGAGGATGTAAGAGTTATATAATATGTACACACACGATACTGGCAGTATAACTTTCGCCTTCTTACGAATCCTTCTCGTCGCGCGGTGAACGTTCCGCTCCGATTAGACACGTACGGACGCGCTGAACCGACATGTATAGCCCAACGTGAACTTCGTCTCGCGACAGTAATAATTAACTAGACTTTCTCAATTCTGCGAAACGAACGGACTGCGTTTCGTCACGGCGGTTAAAATTCGCATGAGTCAGTATGAACTTATATGCGGCGTCAACTTTAATGGCTCTCTTTTCCGATTTCTGCGCTCGATAGAAATCTGGATGACTCGGGCCTCGAAGATCGCGAAAATTGTTCGCCCTAGCCACGTAGAAATCATATGTAAACGTTACAAAAACGCCGCGAAATCGCGAAGATGACGCTTCCCGATGTCGGAACGCATGGTCAATCGCTTTAAATCATTAGTAACGCACCACCGATGCGACACAGTGTCCCTTTGTTTATCCTACTTAAGCATACAATAATAAAAGAAAAGAAACGGCAACGAATCGTCGATGGAATTGTCTCGCATCACTTTAGTATCGTTCAAACCGGGAGATGGGCAGGGGAAAATCTTATAAGGTCGATATTGCCCTAAAACTCACAAAGCTGAGTATTGATCATGTAACTTCTTTTCTAAGGCGGAAACGTGAAAAGTGAAAATTTTTGTATATGTATGTGTGTATATGTTCATACATACATTCATAATTGATACCCTGCTCTCGCGCATTTTAGAAACATAAACATTTTCATAAACATCACAATATATAATTAGATTGCTTGGGAATATTTTTTCGAGAACAAATCTAGAAGCACAAAACAACAAAATTTTATACAAATTTTGACGAATCTGGTGAAAAAATGCGCCAAGTTCTTGCTCTTCGCTGTAATACTCGACTAAATCTAACTTGATAAATTAATAAGCATAATTTTTTTCATACAAATTAAGTTTCTTCCATTGTGGTATAATCATAATCATTTGGTTAATAATAGCAACTATTAGTTTCTTATCTGCGAAAAAACTTGGGCAATTTTTATCTAGCCATTTTATCACGTTGTTGATTTAGATAAATATATTAATAAATTTAAAACTTGATTATACATATAATTTGCTTTAACTCAGGCAATAAATATTCAGAACAATCTACACAAAGACGTTTGTATCTCTTTTAATGTTTTATGTTCTAGATTTGGCCTTTATGATATCGTGCAGAAATAACGCTGTAAAGAAATCAAATGCTTCTTTCCAATTTCTCATAATTTGAATTTTAAATTATTTGAGTTTTTGCTTCCCGTACGCCATCTCTTACATCAAATGCGAAAAACGCTAAACTTCAAACTTTAGTTCACTTTCGTAAAATTTGAATACATACAGATATGAAACGGTTTCTTTCGTTGAAATTTCGTCACCAATTAGCGATACATCTCCGCGAAATTCGCGTGAAGTAACGCGCGACACTAAATATAAATCGTAATTTCATTTAATTAAACGCCATTGTCGCCATTATACATATATATAGCGTAAAACGATGTCATTTATTAAATATAACTTAGAAATTTGGCAGTGTTCATTTCTTGTCTTCGTCCGATATCCTACGTATCATTCTAGAGAAGATGATCAGTAGAGTGTGCTGTGGTATGAATCGAAAAAGTTCTTGAAGTTGTAACAACATAAAAAATGTATAATTTACGCGATTATGTTTATATGTAATCATATGTGTAATTTATCAAAAATTTTTTTAATGAAGCCGGCGGCACACAATATTTTTCTTGCTGAATTGCTAGCTGGATTAGAATTTTGCCATTGTATGATATTATTGACAGAGCATCGTAGCATATACATACGGTGGCAAGAATATAATCTAGCAATCCAGCAAGAAAACAAATGGTGAAAAAATGCGCCTAGTTCTTGCTTTTCGCCGTAATACTCGACTAAATCTGACTTGATAAATTAATAAGCATCATTTTTTTCATACAAATTAAGTTTCTTCCATTGTAGTATAATCATAATCATTTGGTTAATAATAGTCAAATATTGTGTGATGCCGGCTTAATATATCGTTAAACAATATATTTCAAAAGATATAAGAAATATATAGTATATATATAGTGCGATTCCAAATGTGTGAGCCGAAATATATAAAAGAAATCTATTATTGTAGATATTTTATAAAATTATTTGTCTAAAAATTGACAAAAGGAAGATTCGAAATTTTTGACACATTGTTTGACTTGTATAAACTGTTACTGCATAAGAAGACAATTCGTAATCTCTCATTTCATACCACAGTGGCCTCAGATTGCTTGAGCCTCTTCCAAAAAAACAAAATGCAAAAGTGTCATTGCATTGCATTTAAGAAGTTTAAATAAATAATGAAGATGAATACTTATATTTTATAATGTTGATTCGAGAATGAGTTATCTTTTTTATGAATTCGTCAATTTAATCTATTGAAAAATTCGAAATAAAATTATCTAGAATAATATCCATCTTATTGGCTTCAAGCACAATTCGATAAGAATTATAATAAAAAATATAAATGCGCTTTTAAAATATTATTATAGATTATACGTAAGAGACTATGATCATATCTAAAATTTTTGCCCCCGATAAAATTTTCGTTTAATAGAAAGAAAAAGATAGAAAATACGAATTTATAGTACATTATGTTCATTTCCTATTACCAATGCGTCACGAATAAAAATACATGCCTTTGCAAAACTAAAATAAAATTCCATTATAAGAGCGAATTTCTATAATTTATAGACCGAAAATGAAGTGCTTACAGTTCACATTTCTAATAAGCTCTTTTGATTTGAGACTTTAATAATGGCTACTACTGCAGTGTCTAAACGTTATATCGCTTATAATTGCTTGTATTTTCTGATTAGTAAGTTGACCATAGATTCTGTGCAGTTTGAGGTACAAAATGCGTCTTACATAATAATCCCAACAGGATCCGGAGTTATTGTATAAAATAATTTGTATCAAAAATTATTGTAAGATAATTTGCGACACTGTTACATTTACTGACTACTATATCTAACTGTGTTACATTGACAGTTTAGATACCAATATATTTATATACAATCGTAATTTAGTTTCTAGTTGTTTAATGCATAAAGATTGTTTTTACAGTGCATAACTACACAATAATGAGCTCACGTATTGTGTGCTTGTTAACACAGTTTTGAGTAGTTTACATTTACGTTTATATTCCTTTTGCACAGATAACTTGGCCAGTTACTTACATATTCAGTGTACCGTTCGATTAATTTCAAATAGTATGAAACAGATGTGCCATTTTCTCTTAGTCTTGTATAATAATGAGCAATGCTAAATCTGTATCTTCATCGTCTCAAGTACACTGATTGATCGTTAAGTCTGATTCATAAAAATATTATGAAAAATATTATGACTGCGTTCGTTTCATGTATTCAATATCACATACATATAAACTGATTTATGAATATAACGATTAAGATAAATTTGTAGAGAAATTTTGATTTGCTTCGTATTGTCGAGTACAGAACGGTAAGTAAAATGTGACCCAAGACAATGAAACTACAGAACGCGACAATTATCTCTACAAGTGTATTGAAAAATAACTTTTGCGAAGGATGTCTGCTTTATTTTATTCTTTACTACTAACTACCAACATTTGCTAGTACGTTAGTATAAGAATATCTAGTTCAATTCACTTTTTGTTGTTATCCGTAGTTTAGTCGTAATATTTAGAGAAGACGATTGGCCAATCTTTCTGTAACGAATGTAAATCGTACGGAATTTTTTCTCGCATGACTTACATCATCAATACTTCCGTAAATCTACTATGCTACACTATTTACAGTTGATAAGCAATACATCCGATTGTTCTTGCAAACGTTTTTTTTCAAGCAAGTATATTTCGGTGTACATTCGTTTAATTATAATATATAGATGAATATATGTGAACGATGAGATGTATGCGTCGACAATCGATATGGAGCGTATACTTTTTTGTGATTAAAAATATAGAGATAAAAAAAATCGTTTTTTTAATATAATTTGACACACGATTCGATAAAGTAATTTTATTTTAAATTCTGCAATGAATTCATCGTCTAACAATATTTGTTGTGCGTAACAAAAATCTCTCGCACAAAAACTTCAGAATAATTTAATAAAATAAGAAATACGTTTACAAGAACATTCACATATTCTACGCCGATATAAATACATACATTTGAATGAAATGTACGTAACAAGTGGCAGTGCATGTAACGCAAAACAATCGATCACAATCATTTTGCCGTAAAAGCAAATTGAGAGAATTGATTATAAAATGTCGAGGAAGTGATCGCCATCTTACGCTTGATTTCAACTTAAATGTTGTACACGATTGCGTAATATATTTCGTAGTAAGCGGATTATTTACCGTTAAGTATTGAGTCCCTCCCATTCGATGAGGTATTGTGTCTGACCGTTTGGCCCTATCCTCTTCGCTTTGATGACAAACTTTTCACCAGCAGCTATTCTATTAGCTGCACCGAAGTAAATATTCACCGATGATTTCAGATCGTCAAGAGATATGTCAGGCGCACTTTGCTTCACAGGCGAACACTTTGGAGATGAAGATATACTGCTCTTTCTTTGTGGTTGCGAATCAGGGGGAGGTAATTTATCATTACTTTGCCGCTGTCTCAATCGCCTACCATTTAAGGCATAATCCACACAGTTCCCAATTTGACTACTTGCACTGCCCGAGGCACCATTAAATGAACTTCTTAAATTCCTGGCAAATTCACTTTTAATTTCATTGTTACGAGCCGGTATAATAGTTGCCGTCTTGCTAGCAGTATGCTGATATTGTTGCTGGACTTGTTGTTGTATAGGTGGTCGTCCTCGTCGATGTTGCCTTTTACGTTTTACTTGCCCGTTTCTATCAATGATAATGTCCTTTTCCGATAACTGTCTCTTGGTTGGACGTATCACTGGCGGTTGCGAGATCACAGGCGTCAGTGGCAGAGGCAAAGTGATGGGACACTGATTGTAAGGTAACGGTGTACTCGAGTTTGCTTGATTAATGTTACAAGGTGTGCCCACTAAATCACTGAATGGATTATTCTTTCCTTCAAAATCTTTGGGTAGTGGAATAAAAGAATCAAGAGTTCCTCTTGAACTGGTCTCGTCTCCACTTGTGTCTGCAGGCGTCGAAGGTGGCAGAGGATGCATTAGATCCACAGAACTAGGTACAGATAGCTCGGATATACCTGATGTTGTAGCTGGTGGTGTTGGCGGTCCAGAAACAGAAGTTGGAGGTGTTGGAGGTAAATCGGATGCTTCTGAGCTCTGTGGTTTGCTCTGTGTTAACGAAAATAAAAATGACATTTATTATTCTCGTATACAAAAAGACATGATGCATTTCACTTATTGTTAGTAAAAAATATAATGCAATAGTCAATCTTTTATTTCTCTTGAAGATTAAGTTAAATGACTATCATATTACTTTATCACACTTTTATATACATAAATATGCAATAATCTTACCTTCCTTTCCTTTACTTTGGCAATGGCGTTCTTTAATAATATTCTTGCTTTTCTATATCTTGCTTCTCTGTCTTCCAGCGATGTTTCCTTACTACTATCTTCACTTGCTTTCTCTCTTTTCTTCTGTTTACGTAATATTCTTCGTGAATTGCTTAATGCTAATAGACGACGAAGTCTTTTTTGTACACTCAACTTAGGAAATGGGAATGACTTTTTTACAAAACCGCCGCCTATGTTGCAATATCTATAAAAATAATTTAAATTGTCTAATAGAAAATTTCAAAATGTGTTAAAATAATGTTTTATTTCATAATATTTTAAATACATGTATATGTTGTACGAATTATAAGTGTAACACGAGCAGAGATATCAAGAGAGGTAATGAAAAATCGAATAAAATTCATTCATTTACACTGAAATACTTTCATACACTTTGACTATAGTTGCCATAAAAATAAAGTTTTGTAATCTGTCACCGATGTAGAATCTAGATTCTTTGCTGTCTCTTGCCCATGGTGCACCATTTCTCGCCTTTCATGTGTTTTACATGCACTCTCTACTTGCATCAATTTTTACAATATACATATATGTAATACAGAGGATTACATCGGTTTTTTTTTTATATTTTCAATGAAATAATGATAAAATGTTTCGAGTAAAATTTATTAGTTTCTAATGAAGAATTAACTACATACGAAAAATTTCAAAATTGTTCATTTAAAAAAAAATTAAAATCCTACTATATTTCTTTAAATGGAGAATCATATATTTGTTTTTCTATTATTACAGTACATAAAAGAATGATACATTATTACATATCTTCTGTTCGATCTCTCATGATAATTTTATTACAATATTTAAAACATAATTCATGATGTGTTGATTATCTATCGTTGATACATAAAGCAGTGAAACTCAAACGTAAATAAACGTATTAAGAAACATACATAGAAAAATATTATCTATATATTGAATCTTTCATTTAGAAATTTACCGTGTAAACGTAAAAAAATACACAATATATTAAAAAGTTTTCACGGAAGAATAAACTCTACGGATAGAGTTCCCATATAAATAGATAGCTTCACGTACATTTCTTTTGCATTCATTAAATACTAACAACATTTAGTTTTTCGGTATGAGAGTGGAGATTCATATTTGAATGTAACATTTAGTATTACACACGGTAAACTAGTTCTGTAATTACATTTCGTTACATCTCACTAACAGGATCTTATAAGTTTCTTACTTTGTTTCTTAACACACACACACACACACAAGTTCGTTTGAGTCTCACTAATTTAGATATAGACGACAGAATCTTCAAATAAAATAATCAAAATAATACATGATGTAAAATCATTGAATTCGTTTTTGTGTATCATAATGTAAAAAGAAAAATATATAGTTTTCTATTTTAAAAGAAACAAAAAACGTAAGTTGACTTCAACTTTTAGTTAAATTTTAGACAATTTTGAAATTTTTTTACGCAATTAACTCTTTATTAGAAACTTGTTTGAAATATTTCGTTGTCACAATACATCAAAAATATCTAAAAAATCGAACAATATAGGAACTCTATATATATGTATAGACTAATAGAAATAGTTGAATTTATACTGTCTTTAAAAAAAGTTTAATGAAATAAAAGTAAATAAATATATGCATAAAAATATAGTATACCTGTTTCTTAAAGATTCTATTGATTGACTGGATTCTGTTAATGGAGGTGGACTTGGACATGAACTTTGCTCTGCTTCGGAATTTTGATAAATTGTACCTCGCATTACTATAAGTGTAGGACTCACGGGTATTTCTACATCCTCTGTTACCTTTTGCTTCAACGCAATCAACTGTCTTGTACTTTCTGGTAAAATCACCGGACTGAAATAATAAGTTTTACATATTATATAAATGTTAATGTTACATAAACGTATATATGTTAAAAATTAATAATTAATTTTATATTGTAAATTTATTGCATTATATTATACTAACTCTGTTGATGGAGGAAGGTATTGCAGTCTTTTTTTAGTATTATTATAATGAATCCAACATCTACGTAATACAGAATCATCTATCTGGCCAGATATTGGTAAATTGACAAATGCACAAGGTGGTGGCAGTCTGACACGGAGGCCCCATATTGTAGTGCGCTTTTTTATTTCTTTACCACATTTAAACCTGTTTCTATTAGTTGTCAATGCTGTCAATATTGATTGCCTACGTACATCGATACTGACATTTTTTATCTAAAAATGCATACAATGTTATCCTAAACATTATCAAGTATTATAATTAAATATAAATTAAAATTTATTTTATAGATGATATGTTGAAGATTCCTACCTGTGTTGGAAGCTGTAAGGCCGTCCAGTTATCATTTGCGTAAGGTATAATAACAGTATCCAAATCGTAATACTTTTTAGCGTTATAAACAGTCAGATTGTACAACATCAGGTGCACCAGATCTACCCATTTCATTTCTAAACGCCGAATAAATTCTTTTCCATGATTGCACATTGAACACACGAATACATAAAATCTGTAAAAATTATTAATAATTTAACTACATAAAATTGCATGAAAAGAGAACTTGTATGGGATAACATGTAAGAGTAGTTGATTTTTAGTCAGTGAATCCTAAGTTCCCTCATTTGTATCATATGTCTCAATTTTAAAAGATTATAATTAGAAAATGAAAGATTGTGAAGAAGTGTAAGATGATAGTGATCGAGATGAATCGTTTTAAAAACTCATATGTTAATAAGAATAACAATTGTTTGTAATAAGGCTGAATAAATTTTAAAAATATAAGAAGAAAAGGGCCAAATGTCATCAACGATTAAGTAAAAAAATTTTTGTCATTTAGTTAAAAATTTTAAAAGAAAAAACAGTGAAGAGTTATTAGATTAAAATATGTTTAATAATTAACAACAAAGAAACAGACTAAGACATAGGATAAAAGACTAAATAAACGTTTCGACCCCTATCAGGTCATTTTCAATGTTAGAAAACATGTAATAGTAAAACAAAGAAATAATAAGTGAATACAATTTTTAACGCAAAAAACATTTTCTCAGACGCAAATTATCTAATTAACGTTTTTTATCCTATGTCTTTTATCCTATGTCTTAGCCTGTTTCTTTGTTGTTAATTATTAAACATATTTTAATCTAATTACTCTTCACTGTTTTTTCTTTTAAAATTTGTAACTAAATGACAACAATTTTTTTACTTAATTGTTGATGACATTTGGCTCATAGCCCTTTTCTTCTTATATTTTTTAATATAAGAATAATTTGTATATTTAAATTAAATTAAATTATCTTTAAATTTACTTACCTATCACCACTGTACAAAGGATGAGTTAAGCACCTGATGCATTTTTCATGAAACCATTGTCTACAACGGCCACATTGTAACATCTGTGCATACCATTCGCCATTAAGTCCACAGTAACAATAAATTTGTTCAACGTTCACTCTGTGATGATTATCCCAATTTAACATATCAGGCTGAAATTATATGTTATAATGAAAATATCTTGTAGTTTTTATTGTCATATTTTTGAAGAGCACATTCTGTTTTATACATAAATACAATATAATTATATAATCTATATATATTTGAACAATAATATACATTTTACAATTGAATCTTACATCATATGGCAATTTTGTCATGTCGTCTGGTAGTGGTTGAGGTTGGTCCCTACCGCTGCAAACTTTTCTGATGCTTGCTTTAACCATAGAATGTTTTGGCTCGCAAGATTCACGCAAACGTGGCTGACTGTCTGTACACCTTCTACATATCCAATGAATATCTCTACCTGATTCTGGTTTTGATATTTCAGGCTGCAAATGCATAATAATTATTGTTCTATATCTTCATCAGTTTCTAATTAATACAATCAAACTTATTTCTATAATTCAAATATCAAATAGGATTCTTAATATACCTGATGACACAATTGATGATAGCCACGACCACATTTGTCACAAACAATAATGTCATTGTCAGTCTTAGGCTGAGATTGTTTACAAAGAACACACATAACATCCGAGTCTGGCATAGCCAATTTTGTCAGCTCTCTGAACAACGACCAGGAAGATGTGTTGTCCAGAAATTTGACAAGACATCTTTCCCTAGCCAAGTCCACCTATATATAAGCAAATTTAAATGTTGTTACGTTATAAGACTATTAGTAAATATCAATAAAGAAAAATACAAGTTTGTTTGTACCTCGACAACTGTACCAAGGTAATATTTGCCCTCTCTGTGTTGAAGAACATCATCTCCATGAGAGATGCCAACCCGCTGTTCCCTTGTGGTACTATCTGGCGCTACCAGACTTTCCTCAGGTTCTGACATTTTCTATCCTCTCTATTTCTAAATTATAAAAATTATAGGTGTAATAATCAAGTATTATCACAACTAACATCTAAAGATTTAAATTAAGCTACAACAATAAGAGATAACGTATCTTATAAATAAATCTTTTTAAGAAATCTTTGACTTCTGTATATATAAATAGATTGTTGGTAAACATTAGAGAACACATAAAATTTAAACTAATTTTGAATTCATATTTCTTACTTTCCAAATCAGTTTTATTAAGTATTTTATAATACATCGAAGAAATAGTATGAAAAATATGTTAAAATTTTTGTCTATATGCTGTGAGCTAAAAAAAGGGGGGGGGGGCGAAAACAAATGTATTTGTCGTTATTACATGCTAACCTATACTCTCTATTTTTTTTTTTTTTGAGAGTAAAATCTCACTCTAACACTCTAAAGAACCAGTCTAGAAAAAGAGTAGCTCAATTTTCAATCTTTAAGAGATTTGATTCTTCAAAACGAGATTTTCCTTTTTAGAGTGAAATTCACTCTAAATACCTTAGATTGTAAATTTGGCTAAATTCTAAATACACGATTGTGTTAACATTGTTGGCAAATTATCGCGAATACTTGCGTAAATCTACGGGATGGAATGTTTTCGAATATAATTAATAGAAGAATTTGATTCGGAACATCACAGACGACGCTGGGGAAGCGTCGAGCTAACCAACGGGCTACGCGCGTCCCCGTTCAAAGGTGCGAGGAAAATCCAGATAAATCGTTATTCGCCATGCCGTCGATCGCCACCTGCCACAACGAGTAACGTTACACAATTCGACGTACGGGAACGCGGTCGCGCGACCATATGATCGGCATCTCATTAAAAAAACAGTCCGGCGCACTCACTCTCGCTATCGAAGGCGCGAGAGCGCCGTGACGCTTCTCAGAGCCGTTCACGCGGTGCAATGTTCACGGATGTATCAAAATGCAGCGCACAACCGCGGGGCTATATTATTCGCTCTCATGGAAGAATCTCGGCGTTTCTCTACGCGAGCGATTCCCTCTGCGTCGCCGTCGATCCGATCAATCCGACGAGGACGGTGTACGAAGGACGGATAGAAACAGGGAGAAAGAGGGAGAAAAAGAGAAGAAAGGCAAGGAAGAGAGAGAGAGAGAGAGAGGAAGAGGAGTAGAAGAAAACCCATCAACCCTCGGAGCCCGATCGGCGCCCCTTGGCGACAGGACGATGACTCGCGGTGACGTTTCCGAACGCGCGGAGTCCTGGACGCCGCGGAGCGTCGTAAATAAACCCGCGCCCGACCCGGCGCCGAATCGGATCGTGTCGGCTCGGATCGGGTCGAGTCTCTAGTCTCCGGTCTGATCCGGACGTCGTACCTCAGCGTCTCGGCCGTGGAATCACGCGCTGCTACATACGGTCTTCATCCTCCGACTCCGGTCAAACATTCGACAGTACACGAGCATGGGGGGGCCCCGCCACGGTCGGCTCGTTTCACGCTCGCTCCGATCGCTCGCTCGGCTCGGCGCACTCGCGGCGACACGACGGCCGCGGCGGTAAAAGCCTGGTCCCGCTGTCTCCCTATCGCACTGCCGCGCCGATCACGATGACGCCCGGGGCACCCACGTAGGCCGACTACACGATCACGACACGCCCTCAGTTATCGGCATCACCGCGGCGAACTCGGCGCACGTTCATTGTGTCCCATGGAAATTCGAACGAGCACCGTCCGCCATGTTCGGGGAAACACTTGCTGGGCTACTACGCGAATCAGACGCGCCACCGTGAGACGACACTGGGAAACGCGTAGGGGCGTAGCGATGTTTCAACTATCCCCTTCGGGAAACACCTGGATGAAGAAATTGCCCTCCCATTCGTTTATACTGTGAAACTGTTACATTTGATGTTTACCTTGAAATTTTTTCTCAGAATTTTTATGTGATTTTAGATTTTTTTTTTCGAAATTTTTGAATAATTTAATTTATAATTTATTAAAAGATTTCTTTGATTTTTTTACACAAATAACATTTTTCAAAAGTGTCGAGGAAATCTACATTTTTTTTTAGAATTATTGAAATAATTTTTCATTCTATAATTTCTGATGAAATTTTATAAAATCTAGAAAAGTTTAAGATAATTTTTCAGAAATTGAAGAATGAGAAGTATACAATTCTTAAAATATTTTGAAATTCACATATACTTGTATGAAAAATTCTAAGAAAAAATGTAGATTAGTATGTCTCTAAAAAGTATTCCAATTCGTATATTCTAAAAAAAATTTTAGTTTTACTGCACAATAATTAAAATATTTATTGTTTCGAAATATCAATGTCTGCACCAAATTTCAGGATAGTATTCATAGTCCATTTTTATGTTTAAGATGCTAATACAGCTCTCTGATTGATTCATAAAATATATATGTATATGTATATGTATTTAAGCAATCTTAATTTTAAGAATCGATTGTATTAACCGATCTCAATCTCTTATTTTTAAACACTGACATTCATGTTAAAACTGCCATACCGATCGAAATATATAAAGATTTTCTATGATAAACCATTAATAAATAAATCAAAAGTTAGAAGTTAGAAATTAACGAATCATAGTCGATTATTCTTTTCACATTCGACTGTGATTGGTCAATTTCTATAGCTTCTGATTTCTGATTTATTACTGATTTATTGTAGAAAGCTCCTTAAATTTAAGAGCTTTTTACAAAGGTTATTTGCTCCAGCTTATATGCCTTTATATATATTTTTGTTTCATATAAAAAATTTGTTTAAAATTATAGCTATTTGAGACAACAATTAAGAGGTCTTCAAAGATTTATTTATACATAATACGTGCTTATTAAAAGTAATACTTTTATTTAAGATCGAATAATATTAATCGTTTCTCTTTAAAGGATTAAAATTTTACAAGCGGTATACGAATCGCAATAGAATGTACATAAAATTTATTGCAATAACAACAATTATATCATATATATGTTAGAAATGCCTTATTATATGTTAGAAATGACATTTAACTTGGAACGTGGCCCTCGATTCAAAATGGCCGACAGTGATCGTCATTTGGGTCTCCTTTTGCGGTACAGACATAACATAAACAATCGATATTTCAGTCGTTCAAACATTCGGAATAGCGTGACAAATATGAGCGATCGGAATTATTATTTAAGAAATGATCGTTCCCATCGATCGCATCGTCCACGCGTTGTACGAACATACCTCAAACGTTCAAGCAGTACATATACATCTTTCACAACAATGCACTCTTATCCATATCACAGACTTGGAAAATTTGCTCGATGCAGTTTTCTTCGGTAGCCTTTCGCTCGCTTACCGATGGCCGATTTAGCAGCGATGTATCGAATATGATCGGCTAGGAAAGCTTAAAGATCATTTAAATACTATACATATCATTTAAATACTATACTTATTTTTATTTTCCAGTTAAATTCGTCAAAGAGAGATATAAGCAGTGCTTATTATAATTAATTTTCTGCTGACAAAACGCTAACAGAAATATAAATTTGCCAATAAAACTTGATAGCAGATTGATTGTAAAAATCGAATACAATCTGCTGTTCCATATTTAAAAATAAACGAACTTCATAATTACGAAATAATAGATTACACTCAGTTCCTACTGACAATTAGCTGTCAAATATATCAATTATCAGGAGTTGATAAATATATCGAGAGTTGATAGAATATTTATAGGCTCGAATTATATATATTCCAACTTTGGATAAATCTCAACTTATTTGCTCACATTTTTACTCTCTTTCATTCGCCTTTTATCTATTAATAAGTAATTTATTACATAATTTATTCATAAGAACAATCTGCCTTTAATACATTTGATGCTAATAGTAATACATTGCGATGTTAACTAATCTGCTTGTTACATTACATCTATTTTACTGACAGAACATATATTTATAATATCAATGCAATTGATTCCAACAACAAACTGTCAAATTTAACGTGTTGCCTCTATCACCAGTCTTGGCGGTAGGCAACACGATGATGAAAGTGAATATCAAATAGAAAAAACGCAATGTTAGTAGTCTAAGATCCAGTTCCATTAATATAAGATTAATTTAATCTTAGTCCACTAATTTACTCTTTATCTTTTTTTAATTCTAGAAGACAGAAAAAGATAAAGAGTAAATTAAACCGAGATTAAAGTTAATCTTACGGATGGTTGTAATCGTATTACCTGCTATTACTGTTAAAAAACTTCGATGTTGTAAGATTTCTTTCATAAAAATTTATAACGTAAAAGAGAAATTTTCGAATTACGAGTAATATTATATTTCTTTTGTCTTCTGATTACATATCTTAAAAGTAGATAAGATAAAGGGTATATAATTAGAAGATTGTTATAGATTATTTGTGAATTTTTTTTGCGATATATAAAATTTTATTTTCAGTTTTCAAAATTCTTCCATCATAATTTCGAAAATAGAAACTATTACATTTTTTTGTTTATATATTTGGCACGTGAAGATGTTGGTTCATTAGTAACAGGAAATGCTTTAAAACTGAAAATTCTATCAGTTTCTCAACAACACAAATTATTACTGCTAATATTTTAAAAATAAAAATTTACCTTTGTTTTTTTGAGGGTGAAGATTTTCCTAAAAATAACGAGTTTCTTTAATATTAACAAAATTATTGACATACAAAGACGTCAAAGACTTCTGATTTAAAAGAGATCGCTTGCATCAATTAATATGTAATAAAAATAGTATAAATATAAATATTTATAAAATAAATAATTTATTTTTTTAATTATAACAAAGAAATAAGTTTACATACATTTATATATAATTTTTCTTCAAAGCAGTTTACGGATAGACAAATATATGTGAACATTTGAAGAATGTTCAAAATGTGTGTTCCTAAGTACAATATAAATATAGGTATTTATGATAATTGATTTGAACAAAATTAAAAACATGAAGAGAATTATTGATTTATGAAATTTTGTTGACAAATTTTGAATAAAATAAACTTATATGTATATATATATATATGTATATATATATATCGCATAGAGATCTATCGCGTTTCTTTTCACGCTCTAGCACTTCGATATATGGTAATTAAATATGGAAAATCAAAGAATTAAAAGGAAAGTGGATTTTAAATAGATTATATTAATTCTCATTCAACGCGAGTGACTATTACGCGAATTTTGACGAAAGCAAAATTTCATAAATTGATATCTCAGCGTAAATGTAAATACGTAAAAAGGCTCATTGTGAATCTTTGATCTGACGATGTGTAGATATATAATATGTATAGATCGTATCAAAGTTTTAATAAAATTTTGTCCGTATTATACATATCATCGTCTTAATGAGAATTCTTTATGATATCATTCTCTGCTATTGCAATAGGCAGCAAAGACGCCCCTATAGGGCTATTGCTCTTGACATACACATAAATTATGGACGAAGTCTGTTACTAATAGCGATTTCGGTCACTTGCATTACACTAAATTAGTGCGAATTAAAAGCAATATGCAGGCAAAGTTAAATGTAAAAGCATATGAATAATTTAAACGATTAAATGGTCCATAACATTGTTAGATTAAATGGCCAATAAAATGACGTTGTCACATATTTAATAGATTATATATATATATATATTATTTCATTGTTTTGATTACATTATACCACCATGTTTAAATATTTTATATAAAGCGGCCTTTAATGTGCACTGATTAGCATAGTGTGAGTGACCGAATTCACTATAAAATAAAATTTACATTCTAAAATGATTGACACATTCTTTTACTTTTTTGATGAAATAAAAGTTTGTAAAGAGAGAAAAATATTATTAAATTATATGTGATATTGAATTTTGGTATAAGTAATAAATTTCTTTGTATGTTCTTAACATCTTGCTTTCATTATTCGTTCTAATGTTTCACACAAAGAAACGTACAATATATTAAATACAATATATTAAATATTAAATACAATATTATATTTTTTAAATTTATGATACAATTAAATGTACAGTACATTAAAAATTTAAAATAATATTCGCGCGCGTTAAAAGGGAAGAAATTTTAAATAATTCTGAAAGTTAGTAGTTAAATGTAGTGTAGCCAAAACTAATTTTTAAAAAAGCTACGACAGTACTATTAGCAAAGCATGCTTCGCAAAAGTGTAAAATTGCAACGCAGAAATGTGTGAACCCAATATTGCACATTTAGCGAGAAAAATAATATAATACATATTCCATATAAGTATCTAAATATGGACATATTGATTATACCATAGAATTTCATTGATAAATGTCTCTTGTTCTGCGTAATTTGTAATTTAGAGAATTCTTATGGTCGTCAGCTTGGCCGAGGGTTAATACGTAGTTGACCATAAGAAAGTTCAACGATCTTATTATTTTCACAACCGTGTGAAAGCGACACGGTACATTCGTATTCATGTAAAAAAGTTATACAATTATTAACAGTCAACATTCATAATACAATCATAATGCATCACAGAGTAGTCTATATCGTTCGAGAAACATATTTCTTCAAATATTTGTTATATGTACAATAACTGTGTTATTTGACTGAAATTAATGAAAACATGGGCATGTATTCAAATCATATTAAAAGGAAAAAAGAAACAGAATGTACTATACCTGTTGTTTTAACAGCGTTGCATTGTTTTAATTTTATTTTATTTCCATTTTTGTTTTTGATTTCCATCGAATTTATTATTAACTTTCGTCAGGAATGGTTGGAATTCAAACGTGCACTTTTTCGATCCGTGCTTGTCTCGACTTAATTTTATAAATATTATATTTTTAAAAAATGTTACACACATCCAATTTAGTTTAAAAAAGTCTAAAAAATTGAAAATACACATTTTAATTTACCTGTGCATTATAAAAATTGCAACGTTTTTAATGATTGATCATTTACATACGTTCCAAACAAATACAAGTTCAATTGCCACTTTCGCAAAACATAATTTTTATATCAGTGGTTTAAAATTATTAATAACATTTCTTTAAATTTTATAAAAGACAAGACCTTTTATTTAACATAAAAAATATTTTGACATGCTGCATGTATACACAGTCACAAAATAACGTATATGATTTTATAATCATTGTCTCTGATAAATACGAATTCATATAAAACATAGTAAATAAGGAATAGAATAATTTCTTTTAGGCATTTTTTGTGTAAGAGATTATTCGAATGTGCGTACATGTTCGTATAAATTCGTGCGTATAGGTATTCAGACTTATGCCAAACAAAAAAATAACATTTCAAAAAAATCACAGAGATAATTATAATATTCATTAACAATGATTATTTTTTTTAATATCGGTAATCGAAAATCAGTTATTTAATTTGGTCATTAATGTTTATCGATCAAGAGATCGATGTGTATTTCTGAATGACAATTATTTATAGATTGCGTACATATAAACATTATAAACAGTCTAGAGATAGATATTGTGATTTATTTAAAAAAAAATTGATTTACAATCACGTATCAGAAAGAAAACATTTCCAAATTGTAGAATCTTGTAAATCTGATCTAAAATGCACAATTGTTTTAAATATCATATCTCAATTTTCATATCTCAATTGTTTTAAATATCTCTATGCCGGCTGTTTACTGTTAAATCAATGACACAAAAGTGCCCATATAATTAAATCTTTTTTCTCTTTGACGCTACCCATTCAATGTTTTGGTAACTTCAATACCTACCGAACAATTTCATATACGTATAATATAAACAATACATTCTTTCCCAATGTAAAACTGTATCCTTTAGAACATTTTTTTCTTGACTGCCGTGTAGCGTTCCATGTACGTATCGTAACCGTCCAGCTCCGCGAACTGCTTCATCTCAAAGAGATTCCCTTCGAGTGCCAACACCGAGACCTTGGAGTCCTTGAGGAGTCTGATGGGCACCGAGCTCAGCTGTAAACAGTTCTCCTCCAGTCGCAGCGTTTTCAATCGCGGACAATCCGCCAGCTTTTCGGAGATGGTGGCGATTTGATTCTGATTGAGATTGAGCTCGATCACGTGGAGGCCGGCGGCGGCGTCCGGCACGATCGTGAGCCGATTCTTGGACAGATCCAGGACGTCCAGGTGCCTGAGGCCGCAGAACATCAGCGGGAAGTCGGAGATCTGATTGTCGGATAAATTCACCTGCTTCAAGTGTCTCAGATTCGCCAGCGACGACGGGATCGATCTGATCTGATTCGTGGCGCAGTTTAGGCCCTCGAGTTTCTCAAGCGCGCCCAGCGTGCCGGGCAGAACGGTCAGTCGGTTATGGCTGAAGTTCAGCTGCTTAAGCAGCGTGAAATCGCCGATCTCGTTCGGCAGTGTCGTGAAATTGTTCTCGGACAGGTCCAGGGTGCGCAGCGTCGGCGCCAGGTCGTAGAGTTTCCGCGAGAATTTGTCCAGCTTGCACTGCGACAACTTCAGGGTGGCGGTCTTTTCCGCGGTCTCGTAGTGCCTCTTCAAAGCGGAGTTACCCATGTTGCCTCAGTGTCTCGAGTAATATCCTTGCGAGTAATAATCGTGCGGACCTTATCCCTGTCAATGTTGTGAAGGAATTAATTGATCGTACCGATCTATCGTAGCAGAATATCGAGTGCCGCTTTCGAAGCAGAGATTCGATCGCAAGATCGCAGTTCTCGTCGCCCGGATATGCGGCCTTGTACTTTAAATTTGGAATTTGGGTAAATTGTGCTTGGATTGTGTTTTCGCAAAATGCATATATAAGTTGTTATATTTTCTTTTTCTCTGTGTGCTGTTCGTGTTGCTTGCGCTACTCAAAATCTTCTCTTTCCCGCCCGCGAATATTATATATTATATATACTTATTTCTTTTTAAGTGTAAACATTTTTGCGGATTTCAAGCAACACGGACAAATGTAATACCAAATTCTCACAGATATCTGTATACATGCAACGATTTAAACGTGGGGAAACGGGAAAGGGTTGCGACGCGCGCTGCGTTCGCACGATATTCAAAACGATCCGCTAAGCGCGCGCGAAATTTCACCGGAGCGACGCGAAACTTTCGCGGGTGACTGTAGAGTCACGCGCGCCGCGCTGGAGGCGGGGAAAACTTTCCACGCGGACTGTACCGCCCGCCTGTGGCGACTTTTGCGCGACGCTGTACCGGTGCGCGCGCTCTCGGTTGGCCGTGTTCACTCCGTTGACGAGATTTCCATAGCGCGGAATCGCCGCCGTACCGCCGGAGCGAAACGTGGGTTAAGTTATTACCGCGCACGGTGCGGCGTGAGCGATACACGTCGCATTTCGTTGCCGCGCCTCGCTCGCGAAGACACGCGTCGAATACACGCGGGACGTTCGTCCGTACTCGGGGCGTCCGGCCCGTTCGGCGGAGTAGGACACGCGGGAGTGTAATGTCACGCGATTGACAGCGCGTCCGCCATAACGGCCCCGGTCCGGTTTCGCGTCCCCGCCGCCCGATGGCGGGTCGCGCGCTCGCGCGCGCGCGCCCGCCTGCCCGAAAAATGGCCGACAAACGAAGATGTAGCGATGCGCGTCGGGTTTACAATAGACTGAAAACGCCGCTGCGGCTTCCAGTGCATAGTACACGATGCGGCGGTGCGCGGAAGTGGTAAGATAGTGAGATCTCGACATCACCGGCGAGCGACGTACCAGGGTAAACGATGGCCTCCACGCCGAAGACGGAGAAGCACACAGGTAAGATAACCACTACCCGTTGACTGAGAGCGAGCGAGCGAGAGGGAACGAGCGCGCGCGCGAGAGAGAGAGAGGAAGTGAGAACGGAAAGAGCGAGCGAGACGGTGTGAGAGGGCGCGTATACGCGATAAGCATGCGAGACCGCCGCGCGACGTTTCCTATACACCTTCTTTTCTTCCGCGAGGCTTCGGATTTTTTTTCTGAATAAAAAGAAACCGATATGTCACGTCGCGTGATCGCAGTCGCATCGCTTGACGTTGATCTCGATTCTTGCTTATCGGCGCCGCCGGTATCTCAAACTCGACCGAGTTAACCGAAAGCGTGATGATATAATCGGTGGCGTTAACCCGACGACGCTACCGGATGCAAAACGTCAAAAGCACATATGTGTGCCGCGTGTACGCATGATTTTTTTCCCCCCGTTTCCTCGAGGAGCGAGATGCTCCAGAATATTGTCTATCAATATTCCTACAATTGCGTTTTATTCGGATTTCGGGAAATCCGACGTATTTACGATAATGACAGACCTGTCGAAGAAAAACAAGAAGAAAAGAATCACGATCGGTTTACTTATTCACGGGGAATTCTCTCTTCCCGCGATCGTTTCCGCTCGCGTGCTCGCATTGAGAACAAGGCGCGTCAGGAATCTTAGTTTGTTGTGTCCTGGTTCTAATCTGCGTCTAGTAATTTCGTGTTCCATCCCAATTAGTCACAGCTCTTGCCATAGTCGAGCGTACCGATAGCTTGGGTCATTCCATTCTGGGCAGACAATTCAACTTTGTTTTCTACAACAAAAAGCGATGTCACTCCTTTACTTCAAAAGCGACACAACGAAAAATATTGAGTTTCTCCAGAAAAAAGGGAAACGTTTTTAAGTTTGACAGGAAATTAATGACTAATCAAATCGGTAAAAAGAATATATTGTTAATATGCTCAAATGTCATTCTTATAATTTTTGTCTCATGGCTCTTTAAAAAAACTATCCCTTTTGAATGACTTTTAACGACTTTTTGTGAAGTTAAATTCACTTTCGATAATTGCATAATGTTTATCTTAACGGTAGGTACTTGAAAATTATGTTTTTTTAGTTATGTCATTTTTTTAAATAAAAAGGTATAACATATAGTTAGAAATAGATTAGACAAAGTTATATCAATAGCGTGAATCAATCCATTTTAAGTAGACAACATTGTTTTCTATGATAAAATAAAAAAAGAGACGATATTTAATTAAAAATAGATTAGACAAAATTATACCGTTCGCTTAGGTCCATCTATTCTAAGCAGACATTGTTTTCTACGATAGAATAAAAAAAAACATTTAATTAGAAATAAATTAGATAAAATTACGCCAATAAACGTGGGTCAATTCATTCCAAGTAGACAACATTGTTTTCTGAGATAGAAAGAAAAAAAAGAGACGATACTAAGCAGACATTGTTTTCTACGATAGAATAAAAAAAATATATTTAATTAGAAATAAATTAGATAAAATTACGCCAATAAGCGTGGGTCAATTCATTCCAAGCAGACAACATTGTTTTCTGAAATAGAAAGAAAAAAAAGAGACGATATTTAATTGGATATAGATTAGAAAAAACTATACCGATAACTATTGGATTACTTCGTTCCAAGTAGGCAACTTAACATTGTTTTCTGCAATAGATAAAAAAGAAAGAGACAATATTGAGTTAGAAATAAATTGGACAAAGTTACCGCTTGGGTCAATTAATTCCAAGCAGATATTTCAACTTTGTTTTTTTTTACGATATATAGGAAGAAAAGAAAGAGACGATGTTTAGTTAGAAATAAATTAGAGCCACAGAGCTAGCGAAATTATCCAGTCTAATCAAATAAATTGCACAGTCGTGACAGTCGATGGTTATAAACGAGCAATTTTCTTTGAGAAACGCAATTAAATTCTTTAAGATTTGATTTTGAATGTGATACTTTGAACGATATTTACCCAAGTAAGTACCTCTCGCTTTTTGCAAGAATGCTCTGTTTTTCCAAGGGGCAAAATCCAGCTGTTTTCACAACTAACAAGCACGCCGATCTTTATTTACAAGCGCGTGAAAATGTCGTAAAAAGAGCCGACTTTAACAAATATCCAAATGTAAAAAAAGAAACGTTATACAATTTCTTTCCTATAATCAAAAAACTCATAATGAACAATTAAATTTGATTGATTCTATTTATATTATATGAATTATATGTATAACTTAGGCTGTGTTCTAAAATTTACAATCAGTACAGGAAATCTACACAGTATACGTAAATTATACAATAGATTTTCAATACAGGCAATAAATTTTGGAGCCCGACCTTAGTACGTGATCTTATCATAATTTGACAAACAATACGTCACGTTGACTTTATTTGATTCTGTAGAGACAACAATTCCTGCGGAGAAAGAATGAAAATAGAATGACAGATTGAGAGGGGAGCTAAATGTCAATTTAAATATCTGATTTTTGGCTTCAAGGCCGTCTCCTCTTTTCCTGGTGAAGCATTTTTTAGCACGGACTCACATTGGCGGTAATAGTCAATGGAGTGTGTCAACAAACTTTACAACCGTCCAGGCAGACCCCGGGTCGTGATTCGAACAGCTGGCTGTGTCACGAGCTTTTCATCCCACAATTCGCCCCTTCCGAACAAAGACCTATCCCTCCCTGGCCTGACCTGACCGAGAACGACTATATTTTTCGTGGCGATTACGGGTCCTTTCTCCCTTTGCCCTCGTTGGCTGCCCTCTTTCTTAGGCACCACGAACACGCCCCTCTCATGCCTTTCTCGTTTTGTTGTCGTCCCTTCCTTCGTAGAAGACGCGCGGTGTTCTTTTGACTCTGCGCAAACTTAATTTTTTAAATCACCATTTTTTTTCCAATCTATAAAGTTCTATATCAGAATAGAGATATAGAGATTGAATTTGATCAATATCAAGGCAAAGTTCCCTAATTTGATATAAGTTTTCTTTTTTTTTGATTGGTTAAATTGAGTCTCAATCTTTAGTCTGATTCATAACAGAAAAGTTTAAGATAAAATTTAGATTCTCTGAATTTGAAAAAAATCGCAATTATTCGGATATCATATAGAGTAGGGCTAATTCATCAATTGTCACATTTTTATTTTGTCTTTTTACTGATATAGAAAAGTAATTAATAATTAATTTTAATTATATAAAAATTGAGGATTGTCTGTGTGACAGATCATGGCAACTAATAAATTAATTATATTTAATTAATAATTGGAGGGTATCTCTGGGCTAATTCACCACAATATAGTCGAAAGTGTGTATGATATTGATAGAAATAAATTAATGCTAGAAGCTTCTGTTTGTCTGACATTTCCATAAAATGAGAATTAGCCCATTGATACAGTAAGCCCTATATTTTAACGTAATTTTGAATTCCTTCAGTAAAACAGTTGGGTTGGTGATAAAGTAACAGATTATAGATCATAAATAAAAATGTTAATTATATCTAACAGTTGGCTAGTAATTTAATATATATAACATTTGACTTCTCTAGTAGAACAGTTATCCGTGGAAAAAAATATCTGTTTTAGATTTTTACAGTAGCTAAATATTTTAATACTTTCAATGTGCAACATCGATGCATGAATATATCATATATGAATTTAAGCTCTCTGTTGAGTATCATATTTGACGTACACAGTATGAGTACATGCTATTGTAAAAATTGCATATTGTATTCCTGTTTTAGATTCGTTGTCAATATTTCAAACTTGGAGATATTTCATTCTTAGAACATTTCTCGTAATACCTTTGCAATAGTGTCCGTACGTAATGCTGAAAGAAAAATATCGAAAAGAGAGAGAGAGAGAGAAAATTCATTTTTTCATAACACACGTGCAAGTTCCATGTGCTGCAAAATCGCGAAATTTTTATTAGAAGCAGATAACGCCGGATCTATTAGACGACTAGACTTATACAATCGATAATATACAATGTAACATGTGTAGCTTATCAGAGCTGATACGTTCGATCTCGAAGGGATATGTGACGGATAGAGGCACTTAAGTAAGGGTAGTTCGATCAATTCGTCGGATAAAAGTAACAACAATGAACCCTATACATCTGCTTCACGTATAATTGCGTTTAATTCGAGTTACTCTATTGGCTGCATCAATCGTAACGTGTTCGTCGGTGCGGACGTTACTTTTTTCGTCCGTTGTGTCCTGTACTACGTTTTCTCTCTTAAATGAATTAGCTCACGTTCAATCGCTCCGAGCAAAACGCGGAAGCATTATTCCGTATTTTGAGATTTTTGCAGTTTTTAATCGAGATACGCGGAGTAAATTTCATTATGTCCAGAAATGGCTCTCGATGGAAAAAAAATCTCCAATATTTTCATCGCTTGAGGCCATAGCCGATTGTCGAATACATTTCGCTTGAAATCTCATTTTGAACAGTATACCTAAATACCGCATATATCATCTCTCTTTC